TTCATTGTGCTGTGGTTCATTGTGCTGTGGTTCATTGTGCTGTGGTTCATTGTGCTGTGGTTCATTGTGCTGTGGTTCATTGTGCTGTGGTATGGTGTGATGTGAAATTTTGTTTTGTGTGTGTGTGTGTGATGTGGAATGGTTTGGTGGTCTTTGATGTGGTATTGTTGGGTGTTCTGTGGTGTGAGGTACAGCAGTGTGCTGTAGTAATAAATTGCTTTCTTTTTTAGTCATCGATATCTTGAGTAAAAATGAAGCTCTATACATCCTCAACAATGTTGCTGAWGAGTTTTGTTCTTTGGTAAAAGAAGAAAAAAGAGCCAGGACATTGGTAGCTGACGGAAGTGAGTTGCAGAAATGTTTACCCATAATTATTCTGAGTATTTTGTAGACTAACTAATTAATCATAGAATATAGAAGCTTTGCRCCATCATGTGATGGCAGCCATGAACGGCAGGCATAACAATGGAGTCGTTGTTCCCTGGGAAAATGAAATCTTTCTCATGTAAATCACATTAGACCAGATTCAATTGTTCCTGCCTCCTGTCATGGCTGCCATCACGTGATGGTGCAGAGCCTCTACACTAGGTGTTTGTTAGTTATCTAACAGTTATTGTTTTGCAGGTTTTGTTGCCTACAAAAGAGCTGTGACYGGTCTTCGTGAGATGTGTGATGCTTGTGCCACTACGATATTCAACATTCACTGGGTGTGTCAGAAGTGTGGCTTTGGTGTTTGTTCAGATTGTTATGAGTTGAGGATAAAAGAAAAAACAAAAAGTAAGCATCCCTTAAATGATTTAATTAAATAAATGCTATGACATATACTTACTGTGGTGAGAGTTAACAATCTCAGTCTGTCTCTCAACCCTGTGTCGTCCACTCCTGGGGTCGCCCRTTTGAGTCCTGTTGGTTTGATGTGTTGTTCTCTATGAAAATCAACATGTGAGTTGAGTGTTGTAATTCAATAATTAATGTAGTGAAAGTGCATATATGATGGTAGAGCAAACCTCACACAACTTACAGGGAATGATGCATGTTGTAAAGATAGCATAAAGGTAGTTTATACTCGTCTGTAAGTTTAAAAAAATTAAAGTGGCACTATGATAGTTGATAATGATGGTGATGATTATGATGGTGATGATTATGATGATGATGATGATGATGGTGGTGGTGGTGGTGATGATGATGTGGTGGTGGTGATGATGATGATGGTGATTATGATAATGATGGTGGTGTTGGTGATGATGTGATGATGATGATGGTGATGCTAATAATAATACTTTGAAAACTAACAGCTGAAAAGAAATCATTCGAGTTCAAGTGGTTCAACTGTATGCCAGGACTCACTCATCAACCAAAAAACCTTACCATTGCTCAGATTATTCCCGGTGAAGGTAAGAGTCAATTGTCATTACCCAGTTTGCAAAATATGGAAAACTGCTGTAACAGATAAACTTGGTTAGTTCAAGCCTCAACCTTCTTTGATTTTCTATTGTTTGTTTTTTTTCTGTAGTCTTGACTGATCTTTCTAAGGAGCTCCATTGCATCCGATCACAATGGGACAGTGGAAGAAAATGTCCTTGTAATTATGAGCAATTGAATGGTGATATTGTGACCCAATATGATAATGCTCTCATCAAGAAGGATGATTCTGAGCCCCATAATGTGGTAATCCAGTCAGGTAATGCTTGCATCAAGAAGGAGTCTGATTCTGAGCCTGCTAGTGTGACCCAATACAGTAACCAATGCATCAAGAAGATACCAGGTGAGATCCAGTCAGAGAATGCACACACCAAGGAGGAGGACAATAAACATGAAATTAAACAAGAGACAAAAGAACAGAATGACGGCTCAGTGGAAACAGTAACCAAAAAAACTATCATGGAGAGAGTAAGAGAGAGATTACGAGAAAAAATAAAAGCCCAGGAAACAGGGTCAACTGAAACACAGGTGCAAGAAGACCAGATGGAGCCAGGTAAACACATCCCATAGAGATTTATTTTTATCAATCCCTGAAACAACTGCCTGCATGACCAAAATCAGGGCACTGCTAATAACTCACCAACTGGAATGTAGCTTGGTAGGTTTTGCAGAAGAAAGCCAGACAACCCAGAGAAAACCCTTGAATCAAGGGAATCAAGACCTAATGAATGTGTACCAGCATGTCTAATCTAAAGGCATTTGCCACTCCTGGGTGGAAAGAGTAATGCCTAACAGGTTTTGCAACCCAATTGTGTTTACCACTCCTGGGTGGAAAGAATAAGGCCTAACAGGTTTGGCAACCCAATTGTGTTTACCACTCCTGGGTGGAAAGAATNTACCACTCCTGGGTGGAAAGAATAAGGCCTAACAGGTTTGGCAACCCAATTGTGTTTACCACTCCTGGGTGGAAAGAATAAGGCCTAACAGGTTTTGCAACCCAATTGTGTTTACCACTCCTGGGTGGAAAAAGTAAGGCCTAACAGGTTTTGCAACCACATTGTGAAGGCAGGCAATAGGTGGAAAATTTTTTGTGGAGGGAGAAAAATTCAGAACTGGGACTTAGAGGCACTACTGCTGCACCAACCTTGATTCGCAAGAGAAAAGATCAAATGAAGTATTACTAATATTTTAGTCCCTTACTTAAGCTGTAATGGTAATAAAATATGTACTTTCTGAACGAAGCAAATAAATTGACTGGCATGCACTCTGATTTTTTATTCCTTAAGCTAACTGGCCTAGTATAGCCCATATAAGTTAATTCCAGTTAGCTTGCACCTAAATATATGGCAATTTATCTCTTTGTCCTAACTTATCTTTATGTGATATTTATGGTGCTAAATAAAAGATTGTCATTAAACATTGCAGAATCTGATTTGGAAGAAACAAGTGGTGTATACATTGCAGAATCTGATTTGGAGGAAACCAGTGTAAAGACAAGTGAAGAGTGCAATGAAAACACAAGAAAGACCAATGAAATGGTTGATGATAAAGGTAAATGCAACTTCTGTCACTGCAGCTTTCCCTGCTTCATTCAGTGCTTTATTCAGTGCTTCAAATTCCTAAGTTAGTGCTTTATTACTGGCAGAATAGATCAAGGAAAAAAACTGCAAGTTTTATTATTGTTCTATTACACAGATGATAATAAGTATTTTCAATGCTGCTTTCTTGATAATCCTGCAAAGTTCCCCTGCAACCATGCTCCGTTCACTAATCAAGCAAAGCTTGACCAAATAGAGCACACRTACTATCAGGGGCGGATCCAGGAAGTTTAGAAGGGGGGTGACTATTCCAAAGACTTTTAACAGGAATTTGAGGAAAAGGGGGGGTGACTGTTACTAATGATATACTGAGAAATTTGAGGAAATGGGGGGTGACTAGTCACCTATCTTACCACCCCTGGATCTTCCCCTGACTATCTAGTAATCTATAGAATATTAGTGAATTTTTCTGTTTGTTTCTTTTATCAGCTGCTGTTAACATGTCCAGTGGTCTGAGTTTACTAATGAGTTATGACTCATCTTCTGAAGACTCCCCTCCCACGACACCCAACAAACCTTCATCAAGTGGTAGTTCATTTGACTTCAATCTTGGTCTACTTGCATTTGTTGCAAGTACCGAACAAGAAAAGAGATCAAGTGACGTATCAAATGCCGACCAGCAAGTTCAAGAACAAGAACAGGAAAAACAACTAGAGAAAGTTGAAGATAGTGGTGAAGTAAAAGAAAAACTTGAAAAGAATAAAATGTTGGATTGGTTTAAGAAAGCCGAGGAAGAGCACAAGAAAAAACCAGAGAATGATGAGAGCTGTGAAGAAACCAAAACATCAGCAGGAGAAAGTACCAGCTCAGCAGTTACAATGGAAAGTGATACATCAAGAGATCAACACATGTTAGACACACCAAGAATTACAGAAGAATGCCCTGCGCCATTTTCTCTTCTTTGTAATGGACGACTTTTAAGGTTGCATAAACCCCATCACCCTGGCAACCAAAATGCCTTTGCAAAGAGATGGAAAGAGGGCAAGGTAAGGCATTGCATTCTATATATTATATTATCCAGTTTGGATTCAGAATTATCATAGAGCAAGTACATCATGTTAGAAACCATTTGAATAGCTAACTATTTGTTTTCCTCAGCCTGTCTTGGTCAGCGGCATTGATACCTTACTTGATCGCAACGTCTGGTCACCTCAGTCTTTCGAAAATGAGTTTGGTAAGCTTGGTGAATGTACTTGTATAATGTTATTGTTATAATATACTCTTTTACAAACTGCCATTCTAGATGCCTGCATTCTAGGTTCCCTAGGATAGGGATGAGGGCCTGTTAYATATGCAGGCTACAATCCTAYTTATGTTTATCGAAGTATTATGATCATCCCGGTGGATGTAATCCTGAGAAGGACTGTTTGATTGGACTGAAATTTCRACAACCTGAGCGCAAGCCATCTTCAGAGTCAAGTGAAGACTACCAATCTGACTTTATTCTTCACTTGACTCTGGAGATGACTTCTGCTCAGGTTGTCAAAATGTCAGTCACATCAAACAGTCCTTCTCAGGACTACATCCACCCGGATGATCATAATACTTCGATTGACATTCATTCACCTGGGTTCAGACCATTCTATACAATGTTTATTCTGAAGTGTACCCAGCATTCACCCCTCCTGCCTCCTTTCCTCTGTTACTGATATCAGTTCTTCTTCCTGTACTTCRTAGGTGACGAGTTGGCTGATGTGGTCAACTGCCGCACAGGAAAGACTTTAGAGAACTTTAGTGTCGGTGCATTTTGGAAAGGATTTGAAAGCATTGAAGGTACACTTGAATGCAGTACTTAATCCTAGTTTATACTTTGTTCTAGACTTTCATGTTCCTGACTTTCTGTTCAAGATATCAGGTCACTATTATTTTTTTATCGTAGATCGAATAAAAGATAGTAATGGGGAACCCATGCTCCTTAAGCTGAAGGTAAGTTTTCCTTTTTATCACAGGCTTTCTAAATGTTGTTGCTATTTTGCTAAGGTATTGAAGAAATAGAAAACGTGCATGCATGCTGTCTGTATTAAAGCACGCAGGGATAGGTAGAACATGAGAGAAGTGTTAGGAGAAGCACGACGGGTAGCGGAGTGCTTCTTGATACTTCTCAMGTGTTCTCCCAATCCCCAAGTGCTTTATAGCTTCACACAGCACAGCAAGCTTTTTATTTCTTTTATAAAATGCAAAGGGCGCTTGCGTGCCGTGTGCTCTCATAAAGCACTTGCTCCCAACCAATCATTATGGAAATTTTTACACTACACTACACTATTCTTTTTTCATTGGCCTATGTACTCAATGTAATTTAGTTTTGTCTGTAAATAGTTATCTAGACCCCCTAGATGAGTCTTTGCTCTTGTGGTTAATTTGTGATTTATTTAAATGTTTAAATAAAATTTTAAAMTGTTGTCAAGACTCACCCTCTTACAGTCAACAAAATATACCAGTTGATTACTCATCAATGTTTATTTTTTGGCCTCTTCTCATCAGGATTGGCCCCCTGCTGCTGATTTCAGTGAAAAACTGCCGTCAAGGTAAGAAAGACCACCCAGAAACATAGATAGTTAGAACTCATGAATACTCCAGTTTCAAATTCCCTGTTGTACAGGATTAGCCTCGATTTTGTATGGCATTACTTTGAATATCCACTTGAATGTATTGTCAAGGTTGTACATTCTTTACTTTACCGTAAGTTGGTATTTGTGAATATTTAGACACTGATACGAGGCTGACCCAGAGTAAATGACTCTGTAATCAAGGAACACAGCGGTATTTTGAAACTCAAAGCTGAAGTATTTGCGTAATCAAGGAAGACAGCAGTATTTGACTAATTTGAAAATGGCCTACATGTATATGTTGAGTGATGGTCGTCAGGTTAATGTAAAGATGACTTCAACACTTAGTTGTTGAACATGTCTCTAGCTGCAATAGTTTTTTCTGTAGACTATACACTTCAAAAATATTATTATAAGAGTATGTAAGGTAGATGGAAATAATTTATTTTGCTTCAATCATAGCAATAAGAATGCTCTTGTTAGTATCATCATTGTTTGTTTGTTTGTCAAAGGTTTAACAATTTGATGGACCACATTCCATTACCTGAGTATACACGTAGAGATGGATCTAGGAATCTTGCATCACGGTCAGTATTGTCATTATTTTTTTCATTTCGTAAATGCATTTGAGACTGTGTAATGCATCTCTAAAAACATTAATGATTGAATGATTGATTGATTGATTGATACAATCCAATCCAATACAAGTTTATTTGCTCATAATTTYAATTTGTTACGAAATTGTTGAAGAAACAAATGAAAATAAATACAATTATTAAAAGGAAAAAAACAAAAGTTTGAAAATAACATCAGGAGCTTGGGATCTAAATTAACTGATTGACTGATTGATTAATATTAACAACATGCCTCCACAGGTATTGTCACCTTATTAAAATTAATAGTATTATTAAATGAATTTTATAAATTTAAGACAGCCCTAAAGTCGTATTTTTATAAGATGGCATATCTTAATTACTAGATTATTCTTTATTTGTTTAAATATTTTTATTTTATTCATTCATTTATTTATATATATATGTTTGGCTGGGTTGGGGAAGGGGG